GACAATATTGAAATACATAGTTTTATGGGTGATATCTTCTATCAACAAAGAAATTTTGTTGAAATGTTCGCCTGTTATGACCACATAAGGCGTGTGGACTCTCAATTTGAATACAAAGATGGGGCGAAAATACGACTTCGAGTGGCTGAAGGCTACTCTTACATGGGCGATTTGGCTAGAATGTCCAATGACTTGAAGAGTGCAATTTCTAATTATCACACTGCGTACATGTTCGCTAATTACAAGAACGACGCATGCATCGAACATCCTCGCTTTTTGACCACCCTTACTCATAATTTAAATCACGTTTGCAATTGGAAGAATAGAGGTGGCATCGGTAATCATTGGACCGATGTTCTGGGCAACTATCGCACCGAATCCGTTCCGGGTTTAAATTCGGGATTCATGAAAATGGTGTCAAAGGCTGTTGACAAAGAGATCATGGAAGGTGAAAATTATGGGAAAGGTATCATCAATAATTCCGGTGGAATCATAAATCTTTTGAGAAATTGGTGTTCTGCCCTTAATGAAAATGATAAGTCATTTCAGTATTTTAAATCAATGGCGACTCGATGGGTAAATCAAATACCAAAGTTCAAGAACGAAGGCGGTTGGGTTATACGGACTGTTCAACATTTGATGCGCAGAATACAACTTCGGTGGTATTTAGATAAATATGGGAAAACTTACCGAAGCTCTACCCCTCTACCTAAAATTCAACCGGATGCGTCTGCTCGAAGTAAATACCAGCGACCATTAATTCCCGCAGGGCTTCAACGTCCGACTAGTACTTGCGTTCAACCTTTTTACACATTCATATATGACATGACACCTCGTCAAGTACGTTTGATTATACACCGGGAAGCCTTGTGTGTCGCCTATGATGGATGTACAGCATCCTGGTTGGATTCTTGTGTTCATCCACCACCACCACCACCATGTCCAAAACTTAAAATTGGTTACGTTTCCTCCGATCTAAGAAATCACCCGATGGCTCATTTGATGCAATCAGTATTCTCTTTACACGATCGAAATACATTTGAAGTTTACTGTTACTCACTTGTCCCAAATGATGGTTCTCCGTATCGCGCCAAGATTGAAAAGGGTGTTGACGTATTTCATGAATGTAGCGGCTATACCACAGAGCAGATTGTATCGCGAATTGTAAGCGATGGAATTCATATTCTTATCAATCTTAATGGTTACACTGCCGGTGAAAGGAATCAAATATTTGCTACACGTCCAGCTCCGATACAAGTGGAACACATGGGATTTGCAAGTGCGATGGGCGGCATGTGGACCGACTATAATATTCTCGACAAATTTGTGTGTCCCGAATCTCAAACTGGTGATTACAAATTACTACGGAAATCAACCCACAGCGATGGCGACTTGCCTGGTGAGATGGACCCCGAAGAAGACGATGATTGGACGTATCCGGAGAAAGTTCTCTATTTACCTTCTACATACTTCTTCAATGATCATAAACAAGGATTCCGCGATGATAATGGAATCCTACTCAGCAGTCCATTCAAAGACGACTCTGAAATAATGTGGGCCCTAGAAGAGGATCGACGTTGGGAAATGCGTAAGGCACTCTTTCCTAACCTTCCTGATCATGTTGTCTTGTTTGCAAATTTCAACCAGCTTTACAAGGTATGAAATGCATGGCATAAAATTTATATAAATTTATTTATACATTTATAATCTTCCACGAATCCCTTAACTAGTTTATCAAGATTGACACTTCACAAATGTAATCTCTCTATCTCAGCCGAAGTCTAACCGCGGCCTGTTATTATTGGATATTCATTATGGCTTCTTTTTATAATTTAGATTGATCCTGTGACGTTTATGACTTGGCTTAATATTCTCGAAAAGGTTCCCGAGTCGTATTTGTGGCTGTTGTCATTTCCCGAAGAAGGCACAAAAAATCTTCAAGAAACCGCCCGGAAGTGGAAAGGAGCAAGTGTCGCAAATCGAATCATCTTCACAGATGTTGCCGGGAAAGAACAACATGTCCTGAGAGGAAGAGTCGCCGACCTTATCTTGGATACTCCTCAGGTTAATGCTCACACGACAGCATGTGATACTCTCTGGTCGGGTACTCCTATGGTTACCCTACCCGGTCCTGATCATAAAATGTGTGGCAGAGTAGCCGCTTCGATATGTCTTGCGACCGGTTTTGGTGATAAAATGATAGTTAACAATTACCGTGATTACGAGGATACAGCTGTTCGACTTGCAAACTCCGTATCATATAACTTTTGGCACGGATGTTATGCTGCCGGTTTGCCTTCTTGTAATCATAGGAACGGCCAGGGAGAATTAATTGAATTAAGGAAACAACTCTTCCTCAACCGAGATAACATGCGACTTTTTGATACCGAGAAGGCCGTTCGAGACTTGGAGAAGGGCCTTGTTAACGCTTGGATTCGTTGGGTCGATGACAACGAACAAAACATTCACGTCAGTTAATGGTGAATATCGATTTTAGGTTTGATGTTAATATCGCGTGTTCTCTTTTTCAATATATTTCGGTGACCTAATTTTCTTTTCTTTTTTTTTTTTCTTTTTTTTAGTTATTTTTATTTTTATTATTATTTTTTTTTTTTTGAACAATTTCTTTTTTCGAATTGCATGTAAATAGTTTCACTATCTCGACAGAGATAAGTCAATCAAAAGTACATAATAATCTTAGAGGTAATGCAGATACAGAATGAGTAATGTGGAGATGCAAATCCCTGGGTAATTATGAAAATATTTTTAATATTATTAAAATAGAAGGGATTATGAATGGAGAATGTAAATACTTTATATAAAGTTTTGTTGACATTTTTTGGAGGCGTCGTAAAATAAACCGATTCGATCTTGAGGATCGATGTGCATAGAAATTTCTGCAGTGAATATGGGATGAGACGACGATAGCTTTTGTTATCGAAGCAGGCTTGGAATTGGAAAAAGCTTTGTGGAAATTAAATTAAAAACATTTTACGTTGGCATGTAAATTTGTCGAGTAAAAATAACGTCACTCTGTTGGAAATATACAGTATATATTAGATGCAAAGAAATTTTATTTTTAGAATATAAATTTGCTAAATTGGAAATAATACACGCCGTCGAACAAAAGTGGCTCAGAAAACTTTAAAAATCCGGTTCATAAATAATTGTTTCTTAAAAGGGAAATCGTTCCCGAACCAACTTTAGTTTAACGGAATTTTAATTGGCGCCACTTAAGTCTTATTTATCATTCTCATGCGGATACGTACTTGCTTTTTACAATAATAGCATATAAATAAAAATATCGACAATTACAGTATATTTATTTATTTTATATAAGTAATAAATATTTTAAATTTTAAGATTTACATTATAATTAAAAAAAAACAAAAAAACATGCAACATTGCCCATTTTATTGATATTATTATAATCAACTTATTATTATTGTAGTTATAAACTTAATTATTTAAAAATTAAAAAAGTTTTTTAAGTATATACATATATAAGTATATGATAGTTTATATTATCAAAAATTTAAATATCAAGTCTAATTTATTAATAACAATTATTATACAATAAATACTAACTTATATATTAGAATCAAATTTTCAAGAATTATTTTATTATTCAGATATTTTAATATTTCATTTGAATCTTGAAAAAATTTTTATCTTCTTTATCACTACTTATAATATAATATTATAGAAAAGTTTTTTTTTTTTAATTAATCATACTGACTGAGCTTTATTGATATTTGTGAGAAATACAGATATTAAATTACAAGAGTCCAAACTTATAACTATTTTTACCTATATTATCCTTACTTAATATAATCTGATTTCATTAATTTTTTAAGCGAGTATCATCTTATCAGTTGTTCTGTTTTACCCAGGCACCTAACATTCCGAGAATCCACTAGGGACTATCATTTGTTTTTGTTATACTGTATGTTCCTTAAAGTATAATTGGTTCTTTGCGATAAGAATATATTCGAATCTTATATGATATACTTGCCATGTTCAGTTTTCTTCAGAGACTAGATTACTTGATGCTCCAATCCCTGGTGATTATTTATGTATCTTGTGGACTTGAGTCTTCCAATAAATATTCTTAATCGTTCTTCAAAGATGACCTACAAGTTTTTCTTAATCTAATGAGACCTTAGGTCTCTTCCAAACACATTTATTCCTATAGTTCCTATCATGAAATCATGTTATCACAATTCAAGACCAAATTAAACCTATCACTTTGCTTACTTGGTTGGTACAGATAACTGAAGTCTTCCAATACCTCTCATGAGTATTGTGATCAAATTTATATTTGATTGGTATGTCCAAGTAGAATTGCTTTTAAAAGGACAATTTCCAAAGAAAGAATTAAAGAAATGGTTTATAATAAAGAAATATTTAAGAAGAGAT